TCACTGGGATGCTTGGAGTTTGACAGACGGATATCTACTGTCTACTTGGAAGCACCTACGAAAACCTGGTTTCTTTAATGAAATACAGTAATAGCTGGGGGTGGGAAAGCAATAAGTAATATGTATCATATCCAATCTGCTATGAGATGCTGCATTTTTCACCTCATCGTGCTCATGCGGTGTGACTGTATAGTTCCATGATCTTGTGTTTGTAAGTGGAAAGATTTGCTGAACGCTTTCTTTATTTAAGATGGTGGTGCCCTTTTAAGACTTTAATCCTTGATGCGCTTGCTATGGAACTTATGCCAACTGTCTGCAGTTCTCCTTTGTTCAGCAGGATAAGGATTACTTTGAAACAATCTGGATCCATTGTAGAACGTGACAACATTATTAAACTTGCACAAGCTTACAATAAGTGAGCATTGGTAAAGTTTGGAGGTGCCTTAATATATTTTTGAAATTTCTGGGTAGAGAGACTAAACTTATTTTGGATAATAATAATAATCCTTGTATTTTATATTATGTTATTGAGATGTCTCAAACTGTTTCACAGGGTTTTTACTGTGACGATCTGGGTAGTGGGTAGTGGAAAGCTGGAACTCTTTCCTCCAAAAGGCTGGGGAAGCTGGATCCATTCACATTTTCAAGACAGAGGTGGATAAATATTTATTATGTCAAGGTATTAAGGGAAATGGGGCAAGGGCAGGTAACTGGACTTGAGGTACAAATCAGCCATGATCTTATAAAATGGCGAAACAGACTCGAGGAGCTGAATAGCCTACTCCTGTTTCTATGTTTCTAAGAGAAGTGACTGTATTTTGTAGGCAGATGCAACAGCCATGACAGTTTTATTTGGGAGATTGTTGGATGTATGAAGAATTATAGAAGTAGTTAAAATAGAAACAACATGGAAATAGATTAACTGTGATGATCGATTGTCCTTTGAAATAGGTGCATAATAAAATGAATTAAAAAAAATAAAAGAGAATAAAAAATGCAAATATGATTGCCTGTCAATGCCAAAATGTTACATTTTGTTGTGTGCTGCAGAGCGGGTTCGTAGAATGTTCAGAACAGGGCGGCCTCATGGAAATGTATTGCAGAATGATGAAAAGAAAAGGCCTAACATTTCTCATTCTCTTAGTCTTAAAGTTATGCAAAATTTTGGCAAATTCTTAAATTCAGTTTTAATTTCAAGCTAGTTTTCAATTATTAAATTGTTTAAAAGAACAGCAAAAAAACAGGCTTCCAACCTAAGATTGACTTGAACAATTTTCTAAAATTCTGAACAACAACAAATTATATTTGTAGAGAACAACAAATTATATTTGTATAGCACCTTTCACATCAGGAGGACATCCCAAGGCACTGAACGATCTTAGATTTCAAGACAATACCATGGTTGTGGCTAAGTCCATGGGGAGGTTTGGAACATACATTTTTCTCCCAGAAATGTACACCTGAGGTGGGTGCATGGAACAGGAAGATAGAAGAGAATTTAGAGTCCTTCCTTTTAGTAACGGTGGAGAAATCAGATACAAAATGAATCCACAGCTGTTTCTGGCAGGCACGAGATTACTGAACTGATTTTGGTGTTTGATTTAGGCAGACATACTCGAATGCAGTGCTGGGGTTGGGGTGGGGTGGGTTGGCGGTAGCTCTTCCTGGTAACTTGACCAGCAATAATCTTACCAGGTAAAATTGTTTGTGCATCTCATGACGGTTTGTTGGAACTTTCCTCCCTCCCTCCAATCTATCTGTCTCTCTCTGTCTTTCCAGAAAGAAGTCTTCACCCTTCTTAGCAAGGAAGTGAGGTGTAAAACTAGGAGATGCAGTGCAGAATGTTACTTTGCTAATCTGGCTGTGCACATGAAATTCACTATATGTTCGACCACATTCAATGGGGAAAATCACAGTGGATGTAATTGCATGGCTGTGAGATGGTATTTAGTGTTGCAAAGAGCCTTTTCGCGACATTAAATAACTAGAAAATCAGTTCATTTACATGAAGCTGTGACATACTTTCAAATTACTGCACCACAATTTCCTCGGGACACCGGGGAGGAAATAGCCAGTTGTGGTAGAGTAAAAATAACAAGGCCATTTCCTCCCTAGGTTGTCAGAGCAAATAAAAAAATATTGGAACAACAGGCAGGAAGGCCACTGAGGAGGGCCATTGGGATAAGGGGTATGTGAGTGAACAAATATTTGGAAAACCAATTTGCGGCCAGGTGCATTCAGGAGTGCAGTGACGCTCTCTTAAATGCCTCAATTGGTAAAGGCACTGGCCAGTGTGAAGCTAAACCTTACAGATGTGGAATTTCTGCTGGCTGAGTTTGCTGATCTCAGCACTGACCTCAGTAGCTCTGGAGCAAGGAAAGGAAAAATCAGCCAGGGTCCCAGCTCATGATTACTGTACTATCCAGTGACACACATTCATGAGGAGCAGGAGAACTAAAATCCAGGTTTCCAGCTCCACATCTGTCCACTGCTTGAAGTATATTGGGATCTAATTTGTCATGTTTATTATTAAGACCTTGTGTTGCAGATGCTGATGATTCTAAAAGCATGGTCAACAAAAGTGTCCACATTCCACAGAAACATTTGTGTATTTTTTTTAGAAATATAGAAGACAAATGTGTCTTACAATCCTGATCTTAATAACTTATTTCAGAGAAGCTTCAAGGCTTTATTATTGAAATATAAACAATAATCCTGTTAAGGAACGAGATTCTGGGCAAAGCAAAGCAAATACTGTCAGTACTGGAGCATGCCTGCCTGTCATGTTATCCAGAAACGGACAGCTTCCTTACTGTGTCTGCCTGCCTTGTGTTTCACAACTATTTAAAATGTTTATAAAATCCCTTCCAAGTACCCAAAACCCAAAATAAAATTCCATGAGGTTGTCCTCAATAAGACTTCCAAAGCATACTTTATTAAAGAGAAAAGAAGCCCAACTAGATATTAAAGTGTTCTTCATTTATGATTGTCACATACCACAGTTAACACTTTGAAGAAATGTGGAAAGGATTTCATGTTGTTAATCCTTTCACTCACAGATCTTTCTTCTCAGCGACTGTGTGGAGGGAGACAGTGGCAGCTGCAGATTAGTTTCCCGTCACCACTCCACCCCACAATCATCACCATCAAAACAAATCTGTTTCTGGAATTTCATTTTTGTTTAAATATTATTTGTGACAAGTTTAAAAGTTCATTTGAAAGTGAATCTTAGTATGAGTTATTGTATTCTAATAATTTTCCAATGTTACTGTACTTCTGAGTGCTGGCCTGATATTATGAGTTATATTTGCATTATGTAATGTGAGAAATTGCTTTAGTGTGATACCCAAAGGAAAAATTGTACCTTATTCTTTTTACAACGCTGGAGTTGAGCAGAACTTTTAATCGAAAGAGTTATAGCTTTGATCTTAATTTTACAATGTTTGGGCAATGCATGTTAGAGCTCGGATTTCACGCTAAAGTGAGGAGCCTCCGTCACTTTACATTTATATATATTTATGTGTATCGTCAGCCAGGTGTCCACTACCTACTGACTCAGTTGTTAAATGCACTGATCTTGTTAGCTGCTGTGTTACATAGATAAAAAGGGGTTTTGATTTGGCCCCATGTCTGTGGTATGACAGGCCATTGGTGGAGGTAATACAGGGGTACTCAGCATTCCCCTCAGCATCCTCCCTCCTACAATTAAATAGCCCGCTGCCATTCATGGCCTGTGCTTCACATGTAATGAATGGGAACATGGAGTAAGCGACACCAGTGCCTTTGGAACAGTAGTCCTTCAGGAGAGGAGTGCTGAAGTGGAGGAGAAAGTAAGCAGATTTGGTTATAGTTGTCATGGTGATGCAACAAATTATACAATGGCAAATGAGGTTGTGTGACAGCGTATATAACAGCCATCTGTTGCAAAAGCCCCACTTGAGATCACAATCTTGCTGAACCATCTGAAGGAGGTACTTCTCAACAGAGAAGGAAAGGAGATGGGAGGGAGGGCACGTCAGCCCACAGGCCCTTCTGTGCACTTCCCAACAGCTGGATGAATTCGTAATTCACACTTGTCTGTGTCAAGAGGTTGTGGGTTCAAGTTCCTTGTCTCACGCCGAGACTATGAGCTCACAGATTAGGCTGACACTCTAATGAAGTGCTGAAGGGCTAGGTGTGCACTCCTTTGCCAGATGTGCTGTATTTTAGATAAGATGTTAAAACAAGGCCCGCCTTCTCGCTGTTTTTTTGGACATTTCAGGTAGATTTTAAAGATCCAGTGGCACTACTCAAAAACAAAGAGGAGTCTCTCTCAATGTTCTGGTTAAAGATCCCCTAGATAACAATTATATATTTACTTCATTGGCTGTTTATGGGACATAGTTGTGTGAAAATTAGCTGCTGCATTCACCTGCAAATACAGTCACTACACTTAACAGTAAAAATCCTGTGAAGTACTTTGAGATGTTTTGATTTTTTGACAATGGGACTATATCAAATGCAAGGATTATTATAATTGCCATCAAATGTTGCGACTATGCATTTGCAAGTGAAGTGAATGATCAATTTATTAGGAGGATTGTTGGCCAGGATATTGGGAGAAACTCATGAGATGTTGAATAACCAGCTCAACAGGCTGATGAAACACTGGCTTAATGTCCGATCCAGAAAACAATGTGGTCCTTAATCAACACTGCAGTGGAGGTAGCAGTCTAACCTGTGTCACAAGGTGACTGGTACCCTCCAGAAATTATTACCTTTAGAATTCCAGCAGTTTGTGAAAATGACTTTCTTCCATAGGCATCAGCAATACTATGAAAAAACTGTCTGAGCTCTGGATTCAGTGAGAAGGAATCTAAAGAGCTTGAATCATCAGCCCTGATATAAGAACCCTAGTGCTTAGATCTGTTTCCTGCTGTGATTCCACCTCTGTGACATTGCTGAGCTGTGCTGCTGGTTTCTCTTCTCTTCTAACAGTCTGATCTGCTCTTGTTGTTTAGGCAAAGGCAGCTCAAGCATCTCATCCGACGTGAGTTCAAATACAGATCATACACCGACCAAAGGCAGAAGGAATGCAGCTACCAGCGAAGGTAGGCATCTGGTCTTCATTAAAACTTTTTGTCCTTTTGTGCTGAATTTTCTTTTGGCAGGAGTTGGTGGGGATGGAGAGGAAAGAACACATTTTACATTTTAATTAAAACCAACTTGGCTTTACTAGCGTTCAGGATTTATTTTCAGGAGAAAAAGAAAGCAATGTGAAGTTATATGTGAGTCAGGCAGAGCTACTTCACGTAAGGGCAGTTATTACAACATTTGGAAACCGACAATGACAACAACAAATTACATTTGTTTCTCACATCGGGAGGATGTCCCATGGCCCTGGACAGTGAGAGATTTGGACCTGAGCTGGAGATTGGGATCAGGAGGGGTGGAGGGCATGGAGGTTAGCCATAGGAGGGTGGCTGAAGGCGTGGTCGAAGAGAAGGGTCTTGAGACGTGCTGTGAAGGAGGCAATGGTGGGAGCAGGTGAAGGGATTGTGGGATGTAGTTCCAATGGGTGGGGGCAGAGAGGCTGAAGGCCTGATCACCGATGGTGGGACGGACTGGGAGGGGGACATGGAGCAGGCCAAAGCCTGCTGAGCAGAGGAAGCAGACAGGTTGATATGGGGTGAGCAGGTCACAGAGGTAGGAAGGAGCAAGGCCATGGAGGCCTTTGACGGCGAGGACAAGGATTTTGAACTCTATCTTCTGGATGATGGGGAGCCAGTGGAGCCGGGTGAGGGTGGGGATTATAGGGTCATGGAGCCTGGTGCAGGAGAGGACATGAGCTGCAAAGTTCTGGATAATCTGCAACCTGTTGGGGGAGGAGTTGGGGAGGCCAACAAGCAGGGAGATGGTGTAGTCGAGCCAAGATGTAATAAATGCATGGATGAGGGTTTCAACGGCCTGAGGGAAGAGTACTGGTGGAACCGGGCGATGTCGCGGAGTTGGGGGAAGGCAGAGCGAGACATGGCACGGATGTGTGGTAGAAAGGACAGTTGAGGGTCAAACAAGATGCCAAGATGGAGATATTGTGAAAGGTAAAGTCTGAACCATCAAGGACAGACCATAAAGGTTGAGGTGAGAGGAGAGGCGATGGAGGAGGATAGAGTGGTCAACTGTGTCAAAGGCAACAGAGAGGTCAAGGAGGATGAGGAGGCAGAGGGAGCCCTGATCCCAGATGGACAAAATGTCATTGTGACTTTAAACAGGGCTGTTTCTGTGTTGTGGGTGGCACGGAAACCCAATTGGAGGGGTTAGTAGAGGGAGTGGCGGGAGAAGAAGGAGCGAAGCAACGATTCATTCCAAGACCTTGGAAAGGAAAAGGAGGTTGGAGATAGAGCTGTAATTGGAGAGCAGAATATGAAAAGCTCCAGTACGCTTCCACAGTTTAATTTGGTATTCAAGCACTTTTCAAATTAACTTTAGCGGCAAAAGCTCATTATAAACGAAGCCCTTGTAGTTTGGTTCAGTTGCTTCAGTGATGCAATGGTTGTTTGTGTTTGCTGTACTTGTTTCTTTTAAGAGCTGCCAATCAGTTGATCATGTGGGTGGATAATAAAATAACTTCAGGAACACCAATCTCTGGTGCCTACAATGTATCAGAGTTCTGACTGACAATAGTCCGATTATTGCTTTTCACGTTTTTGGAAACCTTTTCAGCATTAGAATTACCAGCAACAATCCCTTAACAGCATTCATTTCTGGTTTAATTTTTAACATTGAATTCATCTGACTTGTGAACTTGGGATGTTCCAGAGCAAATGTCTGATATAACATTTTTTAATTCTTCCTCACTGACTGTCCCCGAGTGCTGTCGCTTCCCTAACACTGTCTCTTTTCTTACACTGCCCCTTACATAGCACTCTTCCCAAAAGCTGTCTCTTTTCTAAAGTTGTCTCTCCCCTAAGATTGTCTGTTATGGCTTAGAAAGGATTTCTTTTGGCAGCTAAATATGGAGCGGATTTCTCTTACAAGCTGTAGTGGAAACTGTGGTCTTCTTCATTGTTAACCGATTCCCCTTCCCCCATCCCAGCTGGAAATAACTGTGTCTTGTATCAGGGGGTGAATGTCCAGGGGTTGTGGGGAGAGAACAAGGAATGAAAAAATTAAGGTACAAGCCAAATCTCAGTTAACTTGTGCTTGAAAGAAATACTGTAAGGGTGAGATAGACATCTGACTGTTGACACCAGCTGCTGCAAAACCAAACACGTAGAACATCGACCTCCACCTCATCCCCTTGAGAGTTCACAAGTTCTGTGTTGTGATCCAGCCAGAAACTCTTGGCAAAGGGGCAGCTTTCCAGCTCTGAGGAAGGAGAAGTTTCCAGTGCAGGAAACATCAATTCAGGATATTCTGACGCTGGGGATGTCTAAAGTGTCTCCTTCTACCGGCCTTTTAAGCATATATTTAACATCAAATCTCAAAATTATACTTGTCAAAAGACAAAACGTGTTAAAATAGTAAGAGTTACCTTAGGCCTGCTTCAAATATATTACCAGGAATTTTTAAGAGACCAGTAAAATTTATTTTCACAATGTCTTTCTTTTATTAAAGATTCATACATCACTTGCTTTGCTTTGCAACCCTCGCCTTCTACAATCGAGTACAGGTTAACTTCCCCATCCCACACTATAACATGCTCAGCTGAATCCAATATCTCAGTGACTGTTATGCTGTAAAAAGTCTGCAACTGTACCAAGATCTGCAACTGTACCAGGATCCTCCACAAGCTCCTTCCCCTCCATGGGATCCATCTCCTCCACAAGACCACAGGATCCTTTACTAACTCCTTCCCCTTCACAGGAATCTACTCCATGGCTCCTGCCTCACCATTGGCTCTTACACTGCCTCCGCATAGGACATCTCGCCCTTCCCACCCCCCGTCACTTACTTTCACATTTCACCTTTGACACCACCAAAGGTTAATCAATTTGCAACAGTAAACCAGCTCATTTTCATTCATACCTGCAGATTCAAGAGTGAAACTGGATTAATATTGAAACTTTGATGACGAATCATTCTATTTTAGTCACACTGTAGAACCATAGAACTTGTAGTTATTATTGATTTTTAGGAAAATGATTTGACTATAAGACAGGGATGTGAAAGTGTTTTATTTCTGTAGTTTTCTCTTTTCTCTCCACTTATCCAGCAGAGCCCCAAATGTAAATGTGAAAGTTTGATGTATGAAGTGACTGTAGCAGTGTAAATGTGTGGGGCAGTTGCTTTAACTAGATAAACAATTTGTCCCTGTTAGACCAGAATCACTGAATCTCCAGCAGTCTCATTGCTTTACCTCACTCCCCCTCACGTATATACCTCAGATTGTCAGGAATAGTTTGCGATGATTACATATCTAGTAATGTGAACTTTTTGTTTCTCTAACCAAAACTTTCAATGTGTGGATATTCACATCTTTCTGTTTGATCATCCTTGGGAGGGGGACTGGGTTGGGGAGGGGGACTGGGTTGGGGAGGGGGATTGGGTTGGGGAGGGGGATTGGGTTGGGGAGGGGGATTGGGTTGGGGAGGGGGATTGGGTTGGGGAGGGGGATTGGGTTGGGGGAGGTGAACAGGGGCTCCTTTGGAGCTGGGCTGGCTCCAAGGTGATATGCTTCGCTGACCAAAACAATTTTCTGACTGATCTCAAGTTGCATTGCTTATGACCATCATAACCACAACATAACTCTTGTATAATGTGGCGGAAAACTGAAAAGACAAGACAAATTCGTTTTTTAACTTTTATACTTAGAAATACTCGTCCCAGCCAAGTGTTTAAAATACCTACTGCTTGGCTCGAGTTTTATTTAAAAAATGGTGAAAATGGTTTAAAATACCAACTCTGTAAATTAGAGCAACATAAAGTGACTTGTCAAATACAAAACATTTCTTTACAATTTGAAAATATTTGTGAATGTGTGTGTGTGTGCATATATATTATTTATAATATATAATAATATATAAAAGAGAGAAATATTAACCCTAGACTGCTGGCAGTTACATGTTGTGAGGTTGTATTTATTTACTTTTGACCTGAATTATAGCAATAAAACTACCCAAGTGTGGGGGGAAGGCAAACCATTGCTGAGGCAGAGTCCAAAATATTCCTTTCAAAGGGAATTTGATAGATGATTAAAGAGGAGGAATATTAAAAGAGTTTGAGCCACAGGAGAGTGGGATTGAATTAGATGGCTCTTGTGGGGATATTGGTATAATGTTGATTCTTTCAAAAGCAAATTAGATAGATTTATTTTAGGAAATAACATTGTGGAATACAATACATAGTTTGGGACATGACATGTGCATGCAACTGCGAGGATGGTGGAAGGCAAACTAAATGGATGTTGGTCTTCTTTCGTCTAGCATCTTATGTTCTTATATTCTTTCACGTCAGGAGTAAGTCTCAAAGCGCTTCATAAGATATATTGTAAAGTGGAGTGACTGTGTGTTTTGTGGGCAAATGCGGCGGCTAATTTGCCCACCTCAAAGAACCTATTTCAAATTGAAATGGACTGTTTCATATGTTTCTATGATTTAATAACAATAATAATGTTTGCATTTGATATAGTACCTTATCACATCCGCAAAATGTCTTAAAGTGCTTCACAGGATATATAAAGAAGTGTAGTTACTGTGTATATGTAGGCGCATTCTTACATTTACAGCACAGAAGAAGGCCATTTAGCTCAAAATGTCTAGCCTGGCTCTTTCAAAGACAATCCATTTACCTGCCTCTTCCCCATACCCACTTCAATTTTTTTNAGATATTTATACTTTATTTCCCACTTGAAAGCTAATTTCCAGTGGTTGGCAAATTTATAAATCTTGGCAGATGAGTATTTAATTCTCTCTTATTGATAAATTTAAACACCTCGGCTGTGTGAGCTTCTAATATGTTTTCTCAATATAAATTGTGCACTGGCAAACTCTGTAAAAGAAAGTCTTCAGAGAATTGACCTATAATGCCTCCTTTAGTTTAAATAAGGTTGTACTACGAGCAATGCAATTGCAAATGCAATTTTTCAGTCTTAGTGGATATATGCAGCTGC